TGGTTGTGAAGTCCTTGGAGGTTTCCAAGGCAATTAGTAACCCATTTTGCAGAGCTCTACCCTCTGTTTTGCAACATCGTCTGGGGCGCAATTCATTTCACAGACGTTCTTTCTAGCCATCCTATTGGAGGTCGACCGCTGGAAAGGAGAAGGGTCGTCTGGAAAATCTTATTTTCTTGTTTTTAGACAAAGCAAGTGGCACGCCTAACATCCAACTCACGTGGTAAAGGCCGGCTGAGGATTTTTTGAGGAAACAATCCTTTGTTGGCACGCCCAGTGGGACAACTAGCAGGATGTATCACTTACAGTTCACAAATCCTCTATTCATTCATTCAGAGGCGTCTGGAGCCATGCCACTGAGAAAGAGTAAAGATAAAGAGGTTCAGCCAGCCCAGGCTGACCATGCAGACGACAGTCCACTCCACTCTAAGGGCGAAAATGATCCCATCACTTTTCTCCCAGTGTCACCTCTAGCAGAACGGTCCTATGGGAATCCAGTGTTTAAGGAGAAAGAAGCAGACCATGGAGGTGACTTTGCTAAGTCAAGTAATATGTTTAGAGGTATGATGGATCGTCTGGATATAGTATTCAAAGAAAAGAACCAGACTATGCAGAGACTTGTTGAGAGTCAAGCAAAGTCTGCCAAACGTCAGGAAAAGATAATTAGACAATGTATAGAAGAAATGAGACGGGTCTTTGAAAAAGGCACTAGGGTGATGCGAGAAACTGGGGAAGAAAGTCGCAGACCACTACAGGCTGTTTCAAAACAAGTGGTTGAGCCAGTGCGACAGCCCAGACCTGAGATCCCTCCTCCAGTCGTTGAGATGCCCAGACAGATTCAGGAAGCCCCAATCCCAACACTCGGGGGGCAAGGGAATCAGCCTCATCCCAATAATCAACAGCAGCATTTTGTCATTGGTGAAGGGCAAAGACAACACCAATTGATGGAGGCTGCTACTCCTGTTGCATACCATGGTCATCAACCTCAGCATAAGTATATTCTGCCAGCTAGGAAGGGAAATGTGGGTCCTTGTCATCAACCTTGTCCAAGGGACTTTTTCCAGCCACAAGTTCCTCCAGCCCAGCTAGTACAGCGTGGTCTGCAGAATCAACCAGTTCAATTCTTCAATAGAGACCATGGGCCAACCTTGAGGCCATTTGAAAAGATTAATAAGGGTTTCTTGAAATTTCCAGACAAAGCGAAGGAAACCATGGGAGTGGATGCAGATCCTTTTCCAGCTGTGTCTGTGGGCGTGAATGTTGCAGACCTCAAGAGTGTTGCCAGAAATCGCAGTCTGCCTTATGCTCAAACGAACCTTGCTGCAGAAGACTTAAAGTGGGTTCTTGAGGCGCAGAGATCCAGACATAGCAGGAGCGTCAGGTCAGACCAGCAGAGGCTCGGGGTGCAAAAAAGGATTACTGTGATCAGGAATTTCAGTCCAGAGGGTGCCAGACGTTATTCAATTGGTACTAGATCTACAAGGATGGTCAAACCGCCACTCAGGTCACCTTCCAGACGGTGGGAGAAAATCAGTCATCCCAAGTTTCCAGCCCAGAATCCCAGAACCTTGAGGCGCAGACTGCAGCGCAAGAGGGCTGAAGAGCGAAAAAGACAACAGCAGCAGATGGAGGTTGAGGGAAGTTCTTCTCGCAGACCACGCCAACCTACCAAAAGGAATATGGTCTGGGTGAGAAAAGAGAAAAAGGAGGCTGTAACTCAGACTCTACAGAAGCAGGATGACCAATCTCCAGCCTCTCCAAAGGTGGCGTCTGTCATTGTGAGTCCAGACGGAGTTTTGAAAGCAACTTTTGAAGCACAAGAACAGTCTGAGAATCGTGGAGCTGAATCAAAAGAAGATGGCACTATTCATTTTGGGGAATTCTCAGTGAATTTGTCATGTCTGGTGCTGACATTACCCTTGGTTTTCCAAGCCAAGAAAGAGGAGGAACCAATCGTCTGTGAGTTCCCAGAA